AGAAACCTCCCAATCTTCCTCCTCCTCATCCTCACCATCATCATCATCTTTACTATGACTAAATGGTAATTTCATAATCTCACATAAGTGAACAAAAGCCTCTTTTAACTGTATGCTCACCAGAATGGCTAAAATGAAAGAGAAATGAATGAAAATAATAAGCATTGGGGACCATGTGCTGGTGGGAGTGCAATAGGTATACCCAGCTGCTGGGGAGAAAACTGCTTGGCAGAATCTATAAAGCTGACATTCAGAGCAATTCATAGCGATCGTACTCCTAGGTATATACCGAATAGAAGTGTGTATTACAGTCACCAAAAGACGTACTAGAACTGTGCTGGCCAGTACAGTAGCCCCAATCACATGTGGCTATCTAAATTACTTAAAATTTTAGAAAATTATCACTTCTGTTCTTCAGTGGCACAGATAGAGAACATCTTCATCATCTCAGAAAGTTCTATTGGACACTGTTCTGGAATGTTCGTAGCGGTCCTCTTCACAACAGCCCCCAAACTAGAAAATATCCAAATACCTATCAACAGCAAAATGGATAAATTAATTGTGGCATATTCACACAATGGAATGTACTAAAGTAATTAAAATGAACGACCTACAACTACACCCAACAATATGGATAAATCTCGCAAACGAAAGAAGCCAGGCAGATAGGAGTACATACTATATGATCTATTTTATATAATGTTCCCAAACCAGGCAAGACCAATCTATACTGTCACGAGCCAGGATAGTGGCTCCCCTTGGCAGCTTTAGTAGTGACAAGAAGGGAGTATGAAGGGACTTTGGGGGACGAGTAGCGTTTTGTTTCTTCCCCTGGGAGTTTGCAGCATGGGAAGATTCAGTTTATGAAGACTGAGCAGCTGTACATTTATGCTTTTCTGTATGTATCTCATAGTTTAATATGTATCTCATAGTTCCAAACGCCCCTTTAGAAAACTTTGCTGCTATTAATCTGTTACCTATGGTCTAGGCTGGGGGAGGAAAGAAGTCTTTTCAACAGCAAATGTGGTTTGCAGATCAGTGCGCCCTGCTCCTGACGCCTCCCCAGGACTTGTAGAGAGACTTAGGGCCTCAGCAAACCCCATCTAGGACGTCCTATCTCGGCGCCGCGCGCTGGGCCTGGCTCCTCGCCCAGGATGCGATGGTCAGGACGGCTGCTCCTCCGGTTTGGCCTCTCACCACGAGAGTTAGGCATGCTGTCCCGGGGCCCGCGGGTTCACTCCCTGCCCACCGGGCTCTGGCCGCCCCGGGCCTGACTGGGAGGCAGCACCTGGCCCCTGGGCATCCCGCCCCGAGGCACCTGCGCGCCCCGGCGGTTCCGAGGACGCTTCCCCTTCGCGCGGAGCCAGGCCGCGGCCGAGCATTGAACTCTGTCCCGTCAGGGACAATCGCAGTCCTTCCAGGGCTCGGTCCCCTTGAGTTGAGAGAAGGCGCCCGGGAAGTCCCCTCTGGCACCCTGAACCATAAAGCGAAGGAGGCGGCGGCCCTGACTGCGGCCTTGAACAACCCTGCCCAGTTCTCCAGGGAAGCGCCCGCCCACCCGGTCCCCAACCCGTCCCCACCCCGGAGCAGAGGCACTCTGGCGGCGCCCGCCGACCCTGCAGCAGTTCTGCAGACAGGGACTGGATTCCCCCCCACCCTTTCTTCCCTGCGGTGATGGGCTAGAGGGGACTTGTGGCTGCTCCTGGAATGTCCTTTCACCGTCGGTCCCCTTCAGTTGAATTCCCCAGACGCAGCCAAGGTCTAAACCTCCGCTAAGCATTCCCAGCCCTGCAGACCCCGCCGGGTGCTGCCTGCCCCGGGCTTACCAGTAATGGCTCTGCCGGGTCTCAGTCTTGACTCGAGCCCACGGTGTTGGGGCTCCGAATCCTTGGGCCTGGCTCGCTCTTCCCTCTCCGGTGGACCCGGGAGTGCCTCAAGGCACCTGGCCTGGCCTGTGACATTGATGCAGTGCCTGAGGAGATTCTGCACTAAGCTACGTTTACATGGTTATCTCATTTAATTTTCAAAGCCAAGGTGATTATCCCCAGAGTGTTTACACATATAAACATCCAGCTAATATTTGTGCATTTTATTGTAGCTTTTAAAAAAAGCCTAAGATAGAGGCTCTGTAAACATATCCATTTTATACAGAGGAAACTGAGGTTCAGAGGCTTCTAATTTACTCAAGGTCTCTACTGCTGGTTGTGGTGGTGCTGAGATTAGAGTGGAGTCAGCCTGACTCTAGAGTCCATCTTCTTAACTCCTCAAGATCAGGCTTTGCAGAAAAAATTGCTGGCTATCTAGAACTTACCCCACTTCTCCCACCAGTGGTGCTTACCCACCTCCTGAGCCTGGTGTGGCACAAGTCACTGTGCCACTGTGGGGAGGAGTTATACACTCATCCAGGGAAGCAAGGAGGGTTTGAGCCAGAAGTCACCTCTGAAATCATGTAGTTCACCCTTCTCTCTGCCTTAGAGCTCAGAGATCAGAGCCCAGAGGGACATCATACTTGGTCTGCTCGAAGTCTCATGGGTCATTAGAAAGCTTTCCTGAATTTTAAGATTCCTCATGTAGTTCACCCTTCTCTCTGCCTTAGAGCTCAGAGATCAGAGCCCAGAGGGACATCATACCTGGTCTGCTCGAAGTCTCATGGGTCATTAGAAAGCTTTCCTGAATTTTAAGATTCCTTCTGGCTCACAGGACAATCTAATGAAGCAGTCGTTTGGGCCTAGGAGGGAGATCTTTTCCTGTGGGTAGGGAGCTCAAGGAAGAGGTAGCTGTTTTGGTCAAGGGTTTTCACCCTCTGATGGCCATCGTCCTGGAACCCCAGCAATGAGCAGTACGGAAATCCTTTAAGGACATGATGGGAGCTATTTATACCAGGAGACTGCAGGCTCCAGAGAAGGGTAGGGAGCGGGAAGGGGGCTGGTCCAGGCTGACTTTAAGTATCTCAAGACACGCAAACCACGCAGAAGCCAATCCATAGAACCAGCTCTGTTTCCTCTATGAGGGTCACATGGCTCTTTTCCAGAACAGGAGGGGATGCAGAGTGAAGGAGGACTAACGTGGGCTGGGAGGAAGCCGGCCAAGGAAGGTGGAGATCTGGCTCTGAGAGCATCAAGAGGCCAGGTCCCAGCAGGATAAGGGGCTGGATTGGAGAAAAAGAAGTTGCATACTTAGGAAATCCCCAGGGGAGGGAGGGCAGCTACTCCCACAAACTTTGGCTGCTAGAACGCAGATGCTGAAATCCTGCCTTGGGAGTGAGCACTCGCAGAGTGCCAGGCTGGGTCTTGCTCACCTACCATTGTCGGTACATAGTGAATGTTAGGGAAGTTTAATTGGGGTCCCAGATGCAGGTCCTGAATTTATCTCATACATCCCAGTTTTCTATACCCACCCTGCCCAAGTCCTGGCTCTCTTCCCTATCTGCAATCCCCAAACGTTGTGTCTTGGTGTCAAGGTCTTCACCAAGTTCTCAATCAGCCTTGTTTCCTAGGTTTTGAGCTGTAGAGCATGGTGCAACATCCTGGGACAGGGGGTGGGGGGTGAGTCATGTCCCCAGGTGGTGTTGTGGGCGTACAGAAGGCAGGACCTCCCTCTGGGATTGGGAGGGGTTGCTAGGTGTCCTGACTAGGCCCCGGGGAGCCAAGAGTCTGGCTCCACATTTCCCTTGCAGCGAGCACCCAAAGCCACAGCTCAGTTCCACCAGGACAATCACCATGGCCCCGGAGAACCAGGAAGAAGGTGCTGAGGGAGGCTGGAAGGTATCCCCAATCCTCCAGGCCCCATGAGCTCCTACTGCGGTATCTGTCCCAGAAGAAAAAGATGCCAACCTGACTCTCTATGACGTCACAGGGAAAGAGTCAAATCTTTGTACGACACCATGTTATAATATTGGAAAGTACCTAAGACTCTGGTGGCACAGATGAGGGAGTAATTACCTCCACTTGGGTGGTTCAGGAAAGAAGCTTGGCCTTGAAGCAGGAGCAAGAGTTCACCAGAAAGGTGAGGGTGGAAGGGCTTTCCAGATGGGAGTGCAGGTGCAGAGACATGGGGGCTGAGACAGCAGAGCAGTGTTTGGACTGGCTTCTTTTTTGTCATTCAGGCATCAATTTAAATGTAATCTCAACAAGCTTTCCCCTACCGCATACTCCAAAAGGACCCCCACTCCCAACACTTGGTCTATTTCCTTTTTAGAATTTATCTACTATTTTTACATATATTTGTCTTCCCATCCCTCCCTTCAAATAAACTCTATGGATACTGTTCTTTTTTTGTTGGTTGTTGTTGTTTTGTTGTTGTTGTTGTTGATTTGTTTGTTTTCCTCCACCGTCCGCAGCATCCAGAACAGCGCCAGTGAGCATGCAGTCGGTGTTCGGTATGTATAGTTGACTGGGTGAATGAATGAATGAGTCTTGCAGTTGCAGGCAGTGGGGAGCGCGTAAGGAAGCGAGCATTCCCTCCCAGCCCTTAGCCTAAGCAACCCGCGGGAAGATAATGGCTCCAGAAGGGGGCTCGCTAGTAAGAGGGCTTAGGGCGTCAGAGTGGTGACAGCGATGGCGGTGGGTAGTGTCCCAGCTCAAGGGCAGCTTGAGAGAGAAGGGACCTGGCGGCGGCGAGCTGAGGGACCTGCAGCCTGATGCACTAACTCACGCCAGGCTCCTGGGTCTTTTTGCCGCCTGAGAGGCGAGGAGAGGGAGGGTCTTTGCCCCCCAAGCGCCGCTTCTCCAGCCTCCCGCTAGGCCCTTTTGGATGCGTCCAAGTCGCATCCTGGGCGGTCAGAGGGCTCCGGCGGGCTCCCTTGCCTGCCTCTGTCGCCTCCCTCCCCTTTCTTCCTCCTCCTAGCGTCTCTCCAGCTCCCCAGCCGGGCGGCCCCGCCGCAGCCTGGCAGCCCCCCACCCCCTCCTGTAAGGGCGAAATTGCTAAACTTGTAGCAATAATGACCCTGCATTCAGGCCGCCGACTCCCGCTGAACGCCTCCGAGCCCCGGCCGGCCCGGCCTAATCAGCGCGCCCCTCCCTGCTGCCCGCCCGGCCCCCGGCCCCTTGGCCGCCCCCTCCTCCAGCGCACACAAAATGCGGAACAAAACCCCCGCGCATTTCTGCGTCCCTCTGTTGAGCAGACTGCTGCACAAAGCCCCCGCTCTGAGAAGCAACGGGGAGCTCGGGGGGGACGTCAATCCGACGCGCTGAGGTTTTTGTTCGCGCAGGGGACCTCGCCTTCCTACCACACCTTTTGTTCGGGACTCCAATAAAAAGCCATTCTTTCCGCACCTTCCCGGCCCGGAGCTGCCTTTCAGCGAGGCCCGGCCCCACAATGGCGCGGCGCTCTCGGGCCTCCCCATTCACCCGCTTTGGCACGCTCACAATCGGCCGTGTGGCAGCACAGGCCTCGCACAGGCATTCTCCGCAAGTGACAAGGAGCCGCATAAAGCCGCGGCCGCCGGGGGAGAAGGGAGGGCGGCCGCGGGGGAGAGTTCGGCCGCGGCGGGGCGCACCGAAGCGCTGGCGGCGGCCGAGGAAGGAGCCGCCTTCGCGCGGCCCACGGCTGGGCCTGGGGGAGAGGCTTCCCCTTCCCTGGCGACCCTCGAGGTGGGGCAGGGTCTAAGCATAGACCTAACGCAGGGTCAGACGGCCAGCCCGAGCGTCTGGGCATCACAGAGCCCAGGGCCTCGATGGCCCTGAGCCTCCGGCCCGTCCTCCCCACAAAAGTGAAGAAATTAATGAACAAAGCCACGAAGAGACCAGACGTGTAGCCTGGGGCCTGGCTCAGGGGAGACCGGGACTGCGGACGATCGTCCAGGGAGGGCCGCGTTCCCTTCCGCACCTTTTCCTTCCCTTCTCGCCCCGTTTAAAGGCCCCCCCCCCCCGCGCTCTTGGGCTAAACAAAGTCTGTAGCCGGCCAACGGTTTGGACATATTGCACCTCGTTTATTGACTCCTGTAGTGTATGGCAGCGGGTGTGTACACGGCGTGTGGATATAGTTATATAGAGATAATATGTGCTGAATACAGAATACGAAACAGAAAGGAAACCCGGTGGCACCTCCAGTGGGCCACCAGGTCCCGGATTTGTTCAGCGCCCCCCTCCCCACCTTCGATCTCACTCGGCTGCTTTTCCTTGCACAGTCCTGCGTACCCCGACAATCCGGGGATCTGAGCCGAGACACCCTGCGAAGGAGAAGCGGTTGAGAGAGGGCAGTCGACTGTGATGTGGTGCTCCCGGCCCTCAAAGGCGTCAGAGCATCGGTACGGTCTGAGCTTTCTCACCCCCGTTTTTCTCTCCTTCATGCTTTTTTTGGTCCTTGGGTTCCCCGCTAACGCTTCGCAGAGGCCGCGGGAAGGCCAGGAAGAGAAGCCCTTGTTCCTCTGGGAAGCCGGAGTCCCAGCCTCCCGCACTGCCGGAGCCATCGGCCTCCCCGGCGCCCAGCCCACGTTTCTGCCTCAGAGACAGTCCTGGCGACCGGACCTGGGCATCCTCCTCGTCCCTGAGCCCCCTTCCCCAGGCCCCAGTGAGCTGCCATCTGGAAGCCCTGGGGAGTGAGGCGTGTATTTTTTTTTAACGAGGGGACCTGGCCCTTGGATCCGGCCTTTCTCGCGCTTCAGTTCTGCGGCGCCAGGCTGCGGTGGGGCACCCGCCACGTGAACCGCCCAGTCCCTACCAGGCTCGGATGCCCTGTAAGGTGCCCTGCGCGCACGCGGCCCCGGCTGCGGCACCCTGGTGCAGCGGC